CTTTTTCATAAAAGATCTTATATATGCTAGTTGGGGATCGTCCTCACTTTCATCGTTTTGCTGGTTCTCAGTTGGACTGTTTAATGTGCGCATCGTGGTATTTCTTAACGCGCTCCTTGTATAGCAGATTGTTGTGGAAAGCTAGCGTTCTCCACTCATCTAACTCATCCAACTGGTAGAATCTCTCCCTTCCTGCTGCTGATGAATCCAGACACACGTTTCTGAGTGCCCAGAGTGCTTTGTTTTCGATCTCGACGGGCAGGTGACAAGATTTCCTATAAACGAGATGGAAAGGAGTAGTTCCGATGGGAGTTTTATAAGCAGTTCGGAAGGCCCATAAGGCATCATCAAGCTTCAAACTCCAGTCCTTCTGAGTTTTAGCAACGGTCTTTTCCAAGATTGCCTTCAGATCTCTGTTCGTGTTCTCCACTTGGCCTTGAGTCTGGGGATGGTAAGCAACACCCCCTCTGTGTTGGACTCCATATCTTTGCAAGGTTCTGGCCAAGGGATCATTTCGGAAATGGGTCCCTCTGTCACTAATCAATACTCGAGGACTCCAAGATATATTTATTTCCGTATGAGCTCGGGAATGGTCCAACGAAGTCAATACCCCAAACATCAAATACCTCACAGGGAAGTATATAATGTTGTGGCATCTCATCACGACGGGTGATGTTTCCCATCCTTTGGCATTCCTCACACCTGGTCACAAATGTATGGGCGTCTCGAAAAATGGTGGGCCAAAAGAACCCACTGTCTAGCACCTTCCGTGCGGTTCTTGTTCCTGAAAAATGACCACCAACTAGCCCAGCATGACAGTGTTTCAGTATCTCTTCCCCTTCTTCTTCATTCACACGCCTTCTCACCACCCTGTCAGCGCAAATCCGAAACAGGTAGGGATCCTCCCAGAAGTAGTGATTGGCTTCCCGTTTGAGCTTCCGTTTCATATGAGAAGAGACCATGGTAGGTTCGATATTTCCAGCTAAAAAGTTAGCTATATCGGCATACCATGGTGACTTCTCATCAGCTCTGAGTATTCTCTCAAACGGAAAAACCTCATCGACTGTGCATTCTCCAAATTGACTAGCCACGTCTAGTTCTAGACGAGACAGGTGGTCGGCAGCCTGATTTGCGGACCCACTTCGGTCCTTGACCTAAATTTTAAATTCCTGCAACAATAATACCCAGCGTAATAGCCTAGGCTTCGCGTCATTCTTCTGAAGTAGATATCTTAACGCCGAATGATCGGTGTAGACAGTAACTTCTGACAGAATGAGGTAAGGCCTAAACTTTTCCAGAGCATATACTATGGCGATGAATTCTTTCTCGATGGTGGTGTAATTCAGTTGTGGCCCTGACAATGTTCTACTAGCATAGTAAATAGGATGTAAGTTTTTACCCTCCCGTTGGCCAAGAATAGCCCCTATCACTTGATCACTAGCGTCACACATAAGCTCAAATGGTTTGGTCCAGTCAGGAGCCACAAGGACTGGTGCGGTGGTCAATTTTTCCTTTAGAGTGTTAAAGGCTTTTAGGCATTCGTCATCAAAGTCAAATTCTGCTCCTTTTTCTAGCAGACGGGTCAAAGGCTTAGCTATTTTAGAGAAATCCTTTATAAATCTTCGATAGAAACCAGCGTGGCCAAGAAAGCTACGGATGGCTCTAACGGAAGTTGGTGGGGGAAGTTTCTCTATCGTTTCAATGTTTGCTCTGTCGACTTCGACTCCTTTGCTAGAGACCTTATGCCCTAGTACGATCCCTTCCTTGACCAAAAAGTGGCATTTCTCCCAACTTAAGGCCAGGTGGGTTTCCTCGCACCGCTTCAACACCTTCTCGAGGTTCTTGAGACACTCTTCAAATGATTCCCCAATGATGGAGAAATCATCCATAAAGACCTCCATGAAATCGCCAATAAATTTCTCAAAGATTGCGATCATACATCTCATGAAGGTGGCAGGGGCATTACATAAACCAAAGGACATTCGCCGGAAGGCGAACGTTCCGAATGGACATGTAAATGTGGTCTTTTCCTGATCCTCGAGGTTGACATGAATTTGAAAGTAACCGCTCATTCCATCGAGAAAACAGTAATAAGCATGCCCCGCCAGTCTCTCAATTAAC